TGCTCAGAGAGATTTGAGTTTGCTGCATGCTCCACAACCTTCCCAAGTGCAGCAATAGTCATAGCATCCGAATGAGCATAATAGAACCCAGAATTCAGACGTCGAGGTAAGTTTATAGGCCCTGTAGTTGAGCCATACATATGTGCAAATAATGAGACATTTAACTTAAATCAAGTGGTGGTAACAGTTTATCTTCAACCACACAAGCATGAGATAAGTAGATATCTTCCTCCTGAAGATGAATCCCACTAATTAACTACTCCCTGAAATGTCTGACTTTCCTTTTAGTCCGTTTCAAAAAGAATGTCTCCTTCCTTTTTTGCAACTATTTTATTTCAACTTTCTACATGGCATGTTTAAGACCACAAGAGTAAAGGGCATTTTGGTACATTTACATATCTTTAGTTTAAGAGGACAGGATTCAAAAGTTTCTTTACTTTCAAAAGTCAAAACCATACAAACAAATTGAAAAGAAGGGAGTACTCTTTTAGCACTCCAAATCACAGGATTCAACAAGAAAAGATAGTTTCCTTCAAAGGGAAATACATAAATACCTGCCAACTTGTATTCATCTGATTGTGCCACAAGAACTGCAGGGCCAAACGAGCTAAGCAAGGGAAGTGGATTCTTGAACCAATAAATATCAACATCGCTCATTAATACATTGTAACTAAGCTTCAGTATCTGCAGAACCATTCTGGACTTGACTTTGGTTACTTTCTGAAAGCACTCAGTGCCAAAATGACAGTTGTCAAAGCTGATCTTGGTTTCAAGATTGGCATACTTGAAGACGGGTAGGCCCTAGAAACACAAGTTCATCTTAGTATTTAAGTAACTGGTAAAACAGAAGGGAGGGGGATGACATCTTAACATTCTGTGTATGGGGTCAGACATATAGTTTTCCCAAGAAATTGAGGTAGTCATAATAAATGGCAGGCATATTAGTCGGAAAGATAAATGAGTGAGCTATTACTGAGATGCAGTAACGGTTCAACCTATCAATCACATTTAGCATGGAGAATATTAGTTAATAAACAAAATAGGTTACCTGCAAGACACAGAACTCGTATATATCATCGTCAAGAGCACAGACCAAAAAGTTAGAGATCTGGAGATGGTGTAGCCTGCAGACCCAACTCATTAGCATGTCCTTGTAACTATACCCAACAACTGCTAGCACAACTGTCTTATTTTTGTCTGCACGAAGTGAGAGTAATATTTCTAAAGACAAGGAAAGTGAAATTGGCATTGACACATTCAAGTAGTTCTTCACAGAGCAGTCCTTAGTTCCCTCAGTTGATCTGATAGTATCAATGCATTCTAAAGTATTCTTCTCTCTTGTTGACTTGAACATAACTTCTTTTCTTAAACTCAATGATCCTTTATACCTCAAAGGGTAAACAACCATTTGTGCAGAGTTTATGAAGAGATAGTATCCTCCACACTGAAAAAGTCTAAATATGTTAGAGAAGTTCTGTTCATGGAAATATAATGATCCATAAAGCATTGCCAAATTGGTGTTGCCAGCGACTTCCCAAAACCTTTTTCCAGTAGCCAGGCCAAGAAAATCGCCACTGGTGCGATCGAAATCCTGGCCAAGGTCATTAAGGTACAGATTGGAAATGGCCCAACTAGCATCAAAAACAAATCTGAAATCAGATAGCAGAGCTTCATTTATAAGCCAGCGATTATGAAGGCCCTTCCCATATAGAAAAGGGGGAAGGACTCCTTTATGCAAGGGAAGATCTCCACTGTTCCATGCTATTAGCATTTTTTCCTCACAAAGGTTCCATTTCCATTCTTGTGAAAGGAAATCCTGCAACTACAGGAACAGCATATTCAAATTAAGAAGTTTCCTCAAGACTGATCCTGTCCAAATCATTTGTAAGGTCCCTTTTTAACCATACCTTTTGGGTCTTCACTCGGCTTCCATCATCTCGGAGCCAATGTTTTCCATCTGCATCCAAGTGAAATGGGAAGTGGGGCACACTTTTTGATGAAGAAAAAAGGAGCCAATCATGATCAAGTCTATGAGCATGTCTGATAGTTTTAATGAAGTCTGGCAAGAGTACAGTGTTTGGATCAATCACAACAGAAACATCTGAAGAAGATGCTTTTGACCTTGCAACCATGGAATGAAAAAATGGTGTGCCTAGGAACCTAAAATAAAAATTATAGTAACAGCTCAAAATTTCCAGATCAAATTAAAACCTAAATCTGACAAAAATAATGTAAGTTTACATACAACCCAATAAATCAGGTTCTTAGCAAAGTGATCACCAAATTGATCCTCTTCTCAAACTCTTTCATTCAGCTATTAAGCTCTTAAGTTATTGTTCAATGCAAAATATGTCTGTCAATCTACATACAATGTGTAAGCTTAATCCTGATATTAAGGGATGAAATACCAACTTGGACCATTTGTCATAAAGTAACTTAACGAATAACTGTGACTATATCCTTTTTCTCTGCGTATGCTCAATGTTTGTGTTATTTAGAAACACGTACGACCGTTGGAGATATAATACAAGTTCAAAACCAAACTTAATTTAGAAGTCCTACTTTTTGGCATTAAAAAATTCCAGTATCAGCATAGTGCCAGAGATTATATCCAGCCTCTTTGCAGAAATGCAAAGGGAATACTGCAAACAGTAAATACCCACTCTTCTCTTACTAACTAAAAGCACTTTGTGCGCAGGATAAGTCCCTTTTATGCAGGCTTGACTGTGTCAAATTCGCTAAACAACAAGAAAACAATTAAATTTTCAGGTATGATTACTGAGCTTAAAATTATCCATTGTAATCGTAAAATTACAAAACTATTTTTGTCTCGTTTAAGTAACTTAACTTTACGGACAATATCAGTAAAGACAACTAACATTTCTCCTATTAAAGTAACTGAACTTTATCCATTATAAGAGTCAAGTCCCTAAACGTCCTCACTATAACAACAAACATATCCATCAAGGTGATTTAACTATTATGGTTAATATAGTTTGCAACTTTATTTCCCAGAAAAAACACGAAAGTACTTGCAAAAAAGAGACTAACTAAGAAAACAAAGTAAAATTCATACGTGAAATCGATGTTTGGCTCAACTGACACCCTGTGACTTAATAATTCAGCAAAGGAGAAAACAGAAGAGTCTTGGCTGAAAAGAACAACACTAATATATGTTGATAAGCCAAGCCAAGATCGAATAGCAAGAGCCTGCCTTTCCCCAACAGTACCCACAAAAGGCCTTGGCGCTGTAAATATGGTAATACTAGGACCATCCACCAATTCACCATTGAAAAGCATGGTCTTTTTTATCTGACCTTTAAAATAAGATGGCAATGGCATAAGTTGAGTAGCATAAAAGGAGACACCAATCAAGATAAATCCCCATACCCAAATCAACCACAACCCAAGTAGCTTTGCCTGTTAAATCCACCAAAGAGAGAAGAAAAAAATCAACATTGATTTGAGTATAAAGAACACAAGGTCATATTAAATGCATAAAGTTAAAAGCTTTGTTGAACATAGTAGCATAGTAAATGCAGAAAGGGGATAAAGAATAGAACACAATAGCATATTAATTAAATACATAAAAGTTGAAAACTTTGTTGAAGTTGAGTGGCAATGAACAACACAATAGCATAGTAAAAGCATAAAGATTGAGAAAGAAATGAATCTTGATAGTAGTAAATGCATAAAGATGAAAGCTTTGTTGAAAATGTACCTTCTTGTTGTGGAGATATGGGAAGAGAAATGATTGAAAGAAGTTCATTGTTGTTTGTGAAAAGAAGGGGTTGGAGATTTCATGATTTTGTGGAGCTTTAACGGAATAAAAGTCTATAATAAGTAAAAAAAGTTGACAATAGCAGCAGCAGCAGCAACGCCGTGGGAAAAGCATGGAAGTGGAGGAGGGGAAGTTAAAAGCATGTGAGGCATTATGCGTTAGGCAGCCGTAGGTTTTAAGGGTCAACGTTTCTTCACTAAGTATTATTTTAATGGTGAGTGAGTGAGTGCAGATGCAACTATCAATTGGAAGTGGAACTTCAACTTCCAATCCTCCATTATGGAATAGGAAAATGATATGTCAAATGTGATTAATAAAAGTGAAAAAAATCTATTTTTAGAATAGCAGACTAGACAGAGAAAGTATTATATTTTCTTCCTTTCTCCATTACACTTACCTCATTATGTGTTTGAGGTAATGTAGTTTATAAATTTTAAAGACACTGTCCAAAGATATTAAAATGACAATCTTAACTTAAGCATACCTCAATACACACAATATAATTGGTCACACTCACATATCTGGGTAAAACTGGGAACTGTGGGTTGATGGTCAGTAATCGGTATCAACCATGGTGAATTTTTCGAAAATTGAAGATGTAAAAAATAGAAATAAAGATTCAACTTAATGCAGACACAAACATCATATGAGAGGATTTCCTCATATACATACAATTTGATTAAACCCCCATTTCATCATAATACAAGTAAATAATTTATAATTCAACGCAAATTATAAAACATCCGTAAATATAATTTGCTTTTAAATTGAAAAGCATGTTAATAATGTATGGTTTGATACAAGAACACAAAAACAGATTTACCATTCTAAGTTTTTCCGAGTCTCCTTATAACTTGTGATAAACCAAAATAAAATACACATTCTAAAATTATTACAGTTTCTAAGTTGATCCACACTCCACCAAGTTTTCCTTTTCCTTTTTTGACAGGCATTTACACTTTACATGGATCATTTATCAGCCACCCTATCATAAAATAGCAACCCTGGGAAGCAGTCACAACTAAATAGCTGACATTTTTTTCATTATAAGATTGTCCACGAGTTAGCATAGATCCCTCCTCGTTCACTTTTTCCAAACACAATGCTCTTCTTCATTACATAATCCCTAATATTCTGTTTTTTTTTTCTCACAAGGAAACAATATATAATTATATAAGATTGCATAACAATGAGGATCTGGGACTCCCCAACTACCAACGAATACTAGTACCAAATGGAAAAAGGTCATGGATGTTCAAGTGTTGGTTCACCTCTTCTTTAGACACACCTCAACCTCCAAATACAATGTACAGCTAACAAAATTTATCAACCTCAATATCATAACTAAAACTGTCACAAATGTCAACAACAGACAAGCTGATAATAGATACAGGCACCATAAATCTCTCATATCATTAGTCCTCTGCACGAGAGTATCGCAGCTTTACTCCTGTCAACCACAATCTGAAACCAAGATTTTAATAGGTCAACTTGCATATCTATTGTCAAACTTAACAGCCAAAGGCAGTACAGAGGATTTCGAACAGGTCAACTGGTGCATCCACTATCTACTTAACAGCCAAAGGCGGTAGCCAATAAGAATATGCAAGGTCATTAGCCTTAAGTACTCTGTCTTGACTCCAGGTACTTGTGTGCTCATCTTTTCCTGCGATTGGGAGACCTTGATCTTGATCTCGACCTTGACCTCCTTCCCCTGCAATTACATGGACCAGTTTATAAACAAGATAAAATTTCTGAAGTGCATTTATTAGATTAGTTCACCTGTATCAATATGTTCTTAGCTATGCTGATGGATGACTAAGTTGAAAAATATCAAGAGAAATTTAAGAACACCCAACAAGATACCTGATGCTTTCACTAGCAGGGTAAGGAGAACGCCTGCGCTGAGAGTGCTTGCTATGAGGAGACCGCGAAATGTGTCTAAAAATAAAAAGATTACATGCTAAACAAGTAAGTGGTGACAAAAAGATACAATATTTTGGATACAAATTCTCAACCTACTATATATATTCAGGCTCTAGAAGAATTTGAACTCCGTATGGTTGCAACCTTTTTTAATAAGTTATATATAGCTAATGATCATTATCAAAGGATTTTGAGGTGAAATTGCCTCAATTATGAAAAGGACTTAGAATTTATAAATTCCACATTCAAACAGTGGTGGCAGTTCATAGTTTTTTCCTCTTGATGAGATTACAAATTCCTGGTCCAAAATCCTGTAACAGTATCTGCTTAAGAAGAGTTTATCAAAACAATAAAGCAGTCATTTCATTATCATTATAATTTTGAATCAAAAAGTCATCTAATTGATAGCTAAGCCTCTTTACCAGTTCCTTTACAATTAATGGTGCTGAGGGTGTGTTTGGTATAGAGGAAAAATGTTTTCCATTATTGGTTGGCTTAAATATTTGGTAAAATGTTTTCCTTATAAACTCATTTTCCAACAAATTCAGAATAATGCCTTCTCTACCAAGAGGGGAAACATTCTCCAACTCCCAAATTGACAGTTTCAACACTCCCCATCCCTACCCCCAATCCCTCCCACCCACTACAACCAACCCCATAGTGTTTGCCTAGATTTATATATAAATCAATGCTCGCATCTGTCCTAGCATTGATGTATAGAGTTACCTGGTACCTTTTGCTGGTGGGAGGTGGTGAGGTATCCCGTGGAATTGGTCGAGGTGCGCGAAAGTTGACCCGGACACCACGGTCATCAAAAAAAAAAAAAATTGATGTTAAGGAAACCCTGTGACGGGGATTTCATTTACACTTAAGTCAACTTGATGAAGTGAACGACTCTACTCGTTTGGTAAACAATTCTAAAACAGCTATAATTGCGGAATTTGTAACCCTTTTAAATAACTTCCAGCAGCTGTCTACTAATTTACTGCAAAATTATAGTTTGAAAATAAAATTGCATAATCCTTCTAAGCATTTGAAAATGAATCAAACTATCTAAGGAGTCACTTGTGAGGAAACACATTATGAAAACTTTTAAGCTTACCTAAATATTCTGTGTGAAAAGAAAACCTCAAAAAATTCAACTGAAAGTCATCCCTTCTAAAAGATTTGGGTAATTCATTCAAAGGGCTAAAATCGGCATGAAGGATATTCAACAAAGAAATTGGTCCAACTCCTATAAATTTTCTTGACATAACACATCACTCCTTCAAAAACCACCTTAAAGGAATTCACAAGTCATGAGCATAACAATTTGGAATCGCAAGCAAATACCCTAATTATGAATCTTTTACGTAAGTAACATAAATAGGAGTTCTCTATCAAGCATTTTAGTTTTTTTTCATGGCATAGAAAATATAAGACTAATAATCATGTCCACAGGGACCATTCACTACAGCATAAGCAATGACTTATCACTCTGGCAAAAAGCAGGTGACAACAGTGTACACAATTTGAGTAATTAATGTATTGATTACTAGAATACATGGTATAAGTACTTTTTATTTATAAGGTAAATGGCATTAGTACTGTTAATATGTTAAATGATACAAACAACACCAAGGGAGTACTCATCCAACAAGGGCAATGCATCATTAAGTGGGTGAGTAACCTATCGAGCTTCCAACTCTACAAAATGCTTAAATGTTAAATCAGATAGATGACATGTACAAGACTTGCAAAGATATGTGGAGATGTACTTACAAATTAGTGATGCTAAATTGATTGTAACAAAACTATCAAACCAGGTAATAACACCATGATGAAACTAACAGAAATCCATCTTAGGAGTCGGTGGCAGTGACACATTATTCAGTATTTTCTTCTGACATTAGCTCTTATTGCAAGTCCAAACTATCAGCTATTTTAATGTACTCACAAGGAGAAGTAGGATTACTCTGTTATGTGCTTAGCTGTTTTGACCCACAAGTACCAGGATGTAACGAGTAAACCCTCATCGTGCCTTTTGTTGCACAGCCTCCTAAGCACATTTAATTAGTAGTGACTCAACCGTGCAGTCTTTTCCATGGGAATGTGTTGTTTTCATTAGTCCACACCTCCATGGATGTTCTTCATGAAATAATTCATCACACTAGTTATATATTTTTTTTGATAAGGTCACACTAGTTATACATTTACTAATAAACTTTAAAGTAAAGTCTTTACTAGCTTCAGTTAAAGTTCTCCTCTGAATCAAAAAACCACAAATGCTTCATTTCATTTTTTAGGACGCTCCTTTAAAGTCTGGAATCTTTTCCGAACAGAGTGACACTTTTCTATATATGGAAGTCTAACTTTAGCATGTTTAAATCCACAAGATCCGAAGAAACTTTTAGTATGTCCCAAAGTCTTTTTTTTCACTCAGCAGAAAGTTGTCTGCTAGATCTTTGCCTGATGTTAGTTTGCTCCCACAATATCTCTCAAGACTCAAATACCTTGTTGAACGGAAGATAGACAGGAAATCCGAAATGTTTGCATACGGTAGAAATAGTAAATAATAGAGTTAAAGATCAAAGAAAAACAATGCAAAAAGAGAAAGGAAAACAGTACTAGAGTGTGGAACCTAAACAGTACTAGAGTGCTAGGAAAACAGTGCAAAATACGTGGAACGTATTTTTACGAAGGCAATTATCCAAGTCTCGTATAGCACACTAAATTAGTGCACTATATGTAAAAAATGTAAACTTTATTCTGACACTTTATTTTGGTCAACTGTCTATTTGTCCATTATTTAGGCTCGGGACTCTCAGAACAACCCCCCTCACATTACTAACCCAAATACCCAATTAAGTAGTGAACAGTTAATCCTGATATTGAGGGTTATTTTTGTCATTTTTGAAGCTGTCTCTTATCTCCACATAAACTGGCGGAAAAGCTTCATCTATCCTATCAACAGTGTGCTTACTACAGATATTTTGGCCAGTAGACTAGGAGGCAAGGTTGGGGAGCTCCCAACTACTTACCTAGGCATGCCTTTGGGAGCTAAAAGCACATCCAAAGGCATATGGAATGGGGTCCTGGAGAAATGTGGAAAGAGACTTACTAACTGGAAGAGCCAGTACTTGTCCTGGGGAGGAAGATTGACTTTAATCAACAGTGTGATTAATGCATTACCCTCTTATATGATGTCTATCTTTCCTATGCCTAACAATGTATCTAAGAGCATCGATGCCCTTAGAAGGAATTTCCTATGGCAAGGCAGTGAAGATAAGAAGAAGTTCCATCTAGTTAAATGGGAGGAATTGATTGTGAGTAAGAATACAGGAGGTCTAGGCATCAAAAACCTGAGGAAATAAAATCAGAGCCTAATGATGAAGTGGTTGTGGAAGTTTCCAAATGAAGAACACATGCTCTGGAAAGAGGTCATCACAGCAAAATATGGTATGGGAGATAAGTGGATGACTAAAATGGTAAGTACTCCTTATAAATGCACTGTTTGGAGGGCAATCAGAATTTATGGCCAGTGATATATCATGGAACCAGGGTAGAAGTGGGAGTGGTTTAAAGACATCCTTCTGGGAGGACAAATGGAATGGGGCAGTTCCTATTTGTTTATTTTATGCCAACATCAGTGGCTACAATGTGAACAGGACAAGGATGGAATTTGTTCCTACGAGGGAACCTTCATGACAGGGAGATAGACAAAGTGGCAGATTTTCAAGATCAGCAACCTCACTGAAAAGGACTTGCCGATTTGGAAGAATGACACCAAAGGTCAATACAGATTGGCCATAGAAGATGATCTGGAAACCAAAGGCACCCTATAAAGTAAACTGTTTCGTGTGGTTGTTGACAAAAGAAGCAGTTTTGACTCATGAAAATTTAAACAAAAGAGGCTATCAGTTGGCCCCTAGATGTATTTTATGTGGAGAGCATGCAGGGACAATTAACCATCTTTTTTTGCATTGTACATGGACAGAACAGATATGGAGAATGTTCATCTGTCTAAAGGGGACAAGATGGGTGAAACCATAGAGCATTAAAGGAGTTCTAAGCAGCTGGAATAGAGATGGGAATTCATCAGATAAGGAGAAGAGATGGAAACTTGTCCCACCATGCATTTAGTGGACAATTTGGAAAGACAGAAACAACAGGAGTTCTGAGAATGTGCAGAACAACTTACAGAAGATCAAAATGAATTGCTTAGCTCTTTTTTATTTTTGGTGTAAAGAAGATATATTAACTATGACAGAAGACATCTTTGATGTGCTAGATTGTTTACAGTCAGTAGTTTAGATTAAGACCGTCTTTCTCTATAAGTTGTAGCACTTTTGAAGGGAAGCTACACTTTTGTTGTAGTATACCTGTGGATATATAAAGTTACCAGTTTCAAAAAAAAATTAAGAAAAAAGATGTCAATTCCCAGGGAGGCAGAAGATCATGACCAACAAATAGTGAAATAATTAGTATGATCTTGAGCTTTTGAGTTAATGGAAACAATTAGACTTTAGAGTATCCAGGCCCTTCAAAAGATACCTTTTCCTTGACCTGAGTGGTGATGGTGATCTGTGTCTATTTGGTTGCGCCTTCCTGCACTCCACAAGAAAAAGATGAGCTATTACGTAAGGGTCAGATTATTGCATCACAAATAGAAGAAAATAAAAATGAACCTTCTAGAATCATCTGAAGATTCATCACTGGGATCATTGGCACGGGTTGACTTGTCCTTGCTCTCTCTACCCCTGCTATCATTAGAAGATGAACGATGTCTTTTACGTCTGCTGGAGCCCCTTTCATCTTTACGTCTAGATTTTTCTCTTTTTTCATCCTTCGTTCTCTCTCTTTTTCTACCATTATCTATGACAACACCAGCTCTGCTGTCTTTTTCTTTTTCCTTCCTTTCTTCCTTGACATTAGAGGGCGAGGGCCTTTTCCTTGAGTCAGATTCCTTGGCTTTTTCCCCTGACTTACGGCTTTTCTCCTTCACAATATCTTTTGAACCATCTAGATCACCCACTTTTTCCTTTCTAGCAAGTCTTTCCTCATGATTCCCATGGTTTCCTTCATCTATCTCAGTTTTTCTGTCCTTTGAGCTTGTATACATACCATTATCATTTGTGCCAGAACCCTTTCTAACTTCACGTTTACCGCTCTTATCTGGCTTATCTCTTCTGTCTTCACTTCTGGAATTATCTATCTTAGTCTTTTTGCAGTCAAGAGTCTGGGATGGCTTTTCAGTTTTCACAGCATCCTTCCCACCTGGCATCTTATCCTCTGGAACTCTAGATTCAGTCTTAAAGGAGCCTCCAGCATCTTCATGTGCAGAATATCTAGTTGACCTGTCATCGGTGCCAACATTGGGACTCATTTTGTGAGGATTTTTCTCCAGGTTGGCAGGAGACCTATCATGCTCCTCGGATTCTTCACGTGATTTTCCATTTCCATGCTCTTTGCGCTTTTGCTTATCAGAACTCTGGATTTCGTTGTCATCCTCATCATCTGACGCATAGTTAGCAAGGCCTAATAGATCCCCAGGAGAAGTGGAAGTAGACTTTTCACTGGCATTAACAGAATGAGTATCTTTAGGTTTGAGTGGTATCAGAACCTTGGCAGAGGCCTTGGGAGTTGTAACAGCTTGAACAGATGTTAACACCTTCTGACTTGAAGCACCAGTTTTTTGCTCAACTTAAGGGAGGAAGAAGATCAACTTAGTCTCAAATATAAATGACCTAAGTGCAAAGACATGGAGAACGAAGAAATTTAAAGAGGAAAGGAATTGAAAAAGGGAGACACCAACCATCAACAGTGAGATCCTCTTCGCTAAGAACCCTTGTCGCAATCTCATTAAATAGCTCATCAGTAACCTGTAAAAACAGCATCTAGTCAATAAATCTGCAAAAACCATGTAAAGAAATCGATCACATATTTATCATCAATAACCTTTAAAAGAACTTCAGTTAGGACACGCTTTATTTCTTGATTCATTGCTGCAGTTCGTGCTGCTTCCACCTCAACCTGCATGGACCAATAAAAATTCAGGTAAGCCTACACTTGGTATGACGTGAATAAGATAATAATTAAAGACAACCCAAAAGGAATAAATCAAGAAAAATTAGAAAGGGGAAAGCTTCAACACTATAAATTCATTGGAACAGTATAGTCCAACAAAGGGTATTAAACCAAGTAAACAGACTTCTTACACGAAACAAATTCAACAAAAAAGTAACATCTTCTGTCAGATGAGTAATCAAGGAAAAGTAAACGACCTCATCATCATCATCATCCTCGGTTGACCTTGAAGAATCGATGCTTTTGCTATCAGCCTGGTCACCTTTCCGATAAGATTTATTGACACCTTCATCTTCAATAGATTGAGAATCCTCCTTTGGAAGCTCTGCAGCTGAAGTTGTGATGACAGCTTTCTTCTTTATTATTTCCTCTCTAAGCCAGTTTGGAACAGCAGCCTAGAAAAGACCAGACAAATAATACAGATGAATCATTACTCTATAGTTTACAAACTGAAAGCCCATAGAACAAGTATACAAACCTTCTTAGGGCGATCAGAAATCCCATATGCATCAGCAGGAAAAGCAGCTGCAGGATGCAGAGCGGCCCCCGCACCAACACCAAAATGTGCACCAACTGACGGGACAGTTGGATGGAAGCTTGAACCCTGTGCCCTTCCAAAGAGTGATGCAGTATGTTCAGTGGCTGGAGAAGCTCCAACAACAGAAGGATCAACCTGCGGTATAAAAGTGATAACAGGAAAGCTCAATCACAGCATCATTGGGTTTAAGTTAACTTTGAAGTTAAAACTAAAACCTGAGACCCAACTGGAGGCATTGGAGGAAGAGGAGGATACGCAGAACCAGGAGCAGCAGAAGAAGGCCACACATAATTGGAAGGCATTGTTGAAACAGGATCAGAACCTCCTGAATCAGCACGAACATAATAGGGCTGGGAATGCCGGTCATGCTCATGACTAAAACGAGGTGCAAAATCCAAAGGCTGATCACTAAGATCAGGACCCATCACGTAATGACGCTCTTCCATCGCTGCAGCTTTATTGGGTGCTGGCATTAGTTGTGCATGATGATGATGTGAAGAGTTGGCAGGCAAAGGTGAAGAACCATAGAACGCCTCATGTTGATTCCCAGCCTCTTCTTTACCTGAAAATAGAATGGGCATTCAGAAAGTACATACATGCAAATCAATGGAAACTATTCTCTGTAACCTCTACAACTGGATTTGCAACCACTAGACTTTGGTAACAAAAACATTTCCTGACGTAAGATTGACTCTCAACTCCGTAATATGTTCAGAAACATGACAAATAAGGGGGAAAGACGCTGTTTTGGGAAGATGTGTTGGTCGGACACGAAATTCTGAAGAACAAGTTCCCTGATTTGTTCATTTTAAGTCTTCAAAAGTTATCCACAATCAGAGAAATGAGAGACAGTCAAGGGTGGGACCTAAGGTTTAGAAGACATCTGAATGACTGGGAAATCAACAGAGAGGCTGAGCTATTCAATATTCTGGGAAAATACAACGAACTAAATTCAAATGAGGACAATTTATATCGGAAGCCTGACAAGAAACGAAGATTTACGGTGGGTTCAGCTTACAGAAGGTTACAAAAGATCAAACTCACATGGTAGTAGTTGGCCTTGGAAGATGATATGGATAGTCGAGATACCTTTCAAGGTAGCATGTTTTACTTGGCTTCTAGCCAAACAGGTTACACTCACGGCTCACCCAGGACAATCTAATGAAAAGAGGCTTTCAAATTTGTTCTATGTGCTCTTTTTGTGAATGTGAGATTGAGACAATAAACCATCTTTTTCTACATCGTATAGAGACTGTGAAGTTAAGGCAGATTTTCTTTAACTTAAGGGGCATAAGCTGGACTATGCCAAGGAGCATCAAAGAAGTTTTAGCTTGTTGGAATAGAGAAGGAAATCAGTCAGGACACAGGGAGAGATGGAAGATTGTCCCAGCATGCATTTGGTAGACTATATGGATGGAAAGGAACCAGAGATGCTTTGAAAATAAGAGCTGCTCACTGCAGAAACTGAAGATGAACTGTCTGGTCCTTTCCTTTTTTTGGTGTAAACATGAATATCCTCAAGAAGAAGAGGATATTCCTAGTATTCTAGATTATTTGTGATCTAGCAGTAGTTTTCTCTTCCCTGTATTTTGGCTGTAAGTATTACTGGAATACTTCTAGAGTATTCCTTTGTTCATAATACAAGATACCTTTCTCAAAAAAAAAATGCTAGAAGAACCAGCCTACTGATTCCTATGAAAAAGGTAGTTCCATCGTGCAAGAGATGTCAAACAACTTTGAGACGATAAAAAAGAAGCCTCGCTGTGAGGTAAAGTTTTATATCTCGTGCATAAACTGTACATTATAACTAAATAATAATGTATTTTTTCAACGGAACCTCAATCTTTCGACTAACTATTATTTTAAGCTTATTATTTCCCCTGCATAGCTGATCAGTCAACAGTCTTAAGCCACACAAGCGACCAATGTGTTGAAGGTAAAACAATCTTATATAGAGAAGAACACTTCAAAACGAGCCTCTGTCAGCAGCATCTAACTTTTACTGCTTGAGACTCCGGTTCTCAATTTTTGGTCTTTGCTTATTCAATAAGTTTTCCTCTTTACTTCTGTACTTTTCCTTTTCAAAACTTCTTTGATATGCATTACTTGATTCAAGGGTCTTTCGGAAACAACCTATGTACTTCCACGGGGTAGGGGTTAGGTCTACGTACACTCTACCCTCCCCAGACCCCACCTATGGGATTACACTGGGTATGTTGTTGTTGCTTGTTCAATAACTTTATAGATATAAAATTGACATCTCTTACAGAGCCTTCCAAGTCATGAAGGCAGAACAAAACAAATAGTTTGAGGAATAAATGAATAATTTTCAATTACATTATTTGATATTTTAGTCAATTAGAAGACTTGTATTGGTATAGCCGTATAGGTAGCAACACAGTGCTAACCAATAACAAAGACACAGTGCAAATGGACAAAAAAAACTTTGAATACGTAAAACCCTCTAAGCAACTGTGTCTTCAAGTGCAAGAGCTGCTGGGTTTTGTTTTTGCAAGCAGAAGTACACTTCGCCCTTCTAATTTTCCGTTTTCATGTGTCCATAATATTTGTACTCCTTCAGAAGTGAAATGTTCCTACAATTTTCACTTCCTTTTAGGCTGTGACAGTAATCTCTGCTAAATCACTCAGATAATTGTCAAGCTACTGAGATAACACTTAATGCAATAAATAAGAACCAAATCTTCAAATAAATTGAATCCTCTCCACCAATTTTTTTTTGATAACCAAGAAATACAAGGACCACTGGTGCACGGTTCAAAACTAGGTGGATAATGGGCCCGCCCCTTCGTCACTTAATATCATGCTTATCTGTGGCACCGTGAGGTGATAGCCTAACCCACATATCACGCATTCCACTCACTAGACCAAAAAACTTTGCGGCCAAATCGTCCTCTCTTCTGCCAATTTAGTCTCAATAGAGAAGACATGGACGAGGAAAAAATTATTGGACAAAAGGAGACAGAGTTTCTGCCATGTCAGCATTCAAATCTGTTGTTTCACGATTAGCCAGAAGGGCAGAAAACTCAACAGACACACATTCAAGGAATGTGCAATCAAGCAGGATTAATTGACAAAGTACAAGCAGATCATTGAATTCCATTTTGCCTACTCTAGCTGAATAGAATAAAGCAAATTGCGTAAAAGTTTCTCTTTTTTATTTTTGGTAAGGTTATTGCCTAGAAGTTTATCCAATAGCTTGATTAACATCAATCCAAGTGGACTTCAAAATAGTATCTAATTTTCAACTGCTCCTCTTTTATGTAATCCTTGGGAAAAAGTTATCATAAACAAAAGTATTCCTGAAAAACAGAACACAAAGTTAGCAGGATGGACAGAGGAAAGAACATGTCAGCATGATGGAACCAATATTCCATGAAATCAAAATACAATAGCGTCAATTATCTGAAGTGAATTCCGTCACACAGAGGCTTTAAAAAAGAAAAGATCCAACAACGATGAAATTCTACTTAGGTCTCAAGGGGCTTCAGTAAACATAGCTTGCTAAAACAAGTAACTAGAAACCACAAGCAGGACAAAGTTATATAGACGCGGTAACTTCAGATGCAATATTGATATATTAATTAAATTTTTTACCTGCAATAGAAGAATAACTAGAAGGTACCTCCTGCTGATGGACTAATGGACTTATGGATGAGTTTCCTTGCTGGGGGAATGAAGCAACTGAATCTCCAGTGAAATTTCCATCTCTTGCAGTGTAAGGTAGAACATAAGGAGATTGCCCAGGGCTGAAGAATGAGGGCTCCTGCAAATGGCCAAACGATGGCCTCTGAGGAGGTGCCACAGGAGTTATGGAGTGATGATTACTTGACGGCAGAACTGGTGGTTGTTGCATGTCTTGGAGATGTTGATCAGCAGATTGAGTGTATTGCTCATAGTAATGACTCTGCTGTTCTGGCCTGCTATCATGCGTAAATTGCGAGTTCTGGTGCTGATGGTCATTAGCAGCCTTGTCAGCAGCCCATGCTCGGGCCTTTGCAGCCCAATCTTCATTGCTAGGTGCTACTAGTTAATAGTAGATTTAACCTTTAGGTAACAGAAGTACCGAGGGGGAGTGGGGGGTGGAAAGGCAAAGAGCATACGATCTCTATATTATTAACCAACGGCAGGAGGAGTCCTCCATGATGGAAAAACTAGAAGGTAATATAATATGCAAGTGTATATCACATAGAAACTACATACTGCTTCTACAGAGTCAGAAATTTTGCCAGGGCTAAAGAGAAATAAAAGCCAAAAAAAAAGTAAAGGAAGGATCTGACAGAGGGATGCAATCCCAGAGTTCTAATTTGAAAGACCGCCCCTTAAATTCTACTACAGTAAATAGACCTCTTCTCATAAACAATTAACTAGATTTCATATTTGAGCTTCTAAAACCTAATGTGATTTTTTAAATAAGAATTTGACCTTGTTAAGCGATTAATACCTTCTTTAGCAAACCTCCTCAATCAACAGCTAGAATTTTATCTTTTTGACTCGAGAAAAGACAGCATTGTTCAGTTCCACGTGACACGACAGACACTTGTGGAGACCATTGCTGAGCTAAATAAAACTTGGAGAATGTAAAATGATGAAACTCCTAAATAATCCAGAATTCTAACAAACAACATAAGTCAACTTATTTTCTGGTAACATTTAAGCATGTCTGAGATGCCACAAAAAGAACACGAAGCAGTACAGAAAAGTTAAACATCAATAAATTTTAGGAACCGGCCTAGACTCTGAGAAATAGTATAAGTAAAATAGAAGACACGGCTTGAATCAGCTTCAAAACATTTTTCAACCATAAATGGGTTTCAGGAAACTTGCAGATGCATCCCAGCATATTGAATTGCTAAACAAGCATAGATTCCAATCAAAATACTATATTTCCAAACCTGAGTTTCCCCAATTTTGCTGTTGACCCCAGTTCATACTGCCCCAGTCCTGCAAGCACATGAATCTTACATTCATTAACCAAACATGTTATAACGAATCCATCAGCAGAATAGGAAGCAGTATAACACAGCAATAACAACTACTACTACACCTCAATCCCAACTTTTCGTGTAGGCTATCTATCAATCCTCAATATCCATTTAGCACAATATTGGACTCATTCTAATATGTCTAACAGGGACTGTCTCTGTTTTTTATTATCGCACAACTCTCCAATCAAAATAAGAAGATTCCTTGCAATAATTTATGAGTACATTTCATTAATGGAATCAAGAAGGTGCAGATAGTACAAAAGATAAACAGTATAATAGAGGTCACTTCCATTACTGAGAAGGCTAGGAAGCTGACAAAGTCGAAAAATTTAATAGGGCAATTTACAGGAGCAAAGTTGTGCCAACCATATGACCATAGGAGACATGTTAAAAGTTGATATCCTACCAAACACACCAAAAAAATCATGATGATATCATCATCCAGATTCTCCACATAGTTTTATCAACTTCCCACAAACTCCAGCATTCATAGGCATCCTTGATGCCCAAACATGACCCACCTGAGCCCAGAAATATAAAGAAACATATTCAAAATATCTACAGCAATTGGACAGCGGAGAAAGAGGCATTTGTTGGTTTCTGAATGTTGGAGACACATGAAACATATTACAATATTCCTATAAAGCTCTCCAGCTAAAGCAAATAACCTTTGTACATAACTTAGCTTTCCAGATTAGTTTCCAAAGCCTGCTTTCTATAATTCATTTTGAAAGCATGTGCGAGTAACCTGCTTTCACAGTGTATAAACCTTCCTTTGTGTAACCCCACTTCATGTTCTCAACTGCATCATCACTTATTGTGCAAGCTCCCCAATTTTGTAAGTACATTCAATAGTTCTTCAAGTCAGAAAATTCTGATCTCGAACATTTCTCTCAAAGTGCAAGTCTCGGAAGGGTTTTTTTTTTTTTGAGAAGTAACATTTGCAAGTCCCAAAAATTGCCTTGTCTATTTTGTGAGATTGTGGAGTCTGGGTCAAGAGCTATTTGGAAAAATGGGGAAACTCATTTATTAGGATAGAACCAGTTGGGAAGAAGCAGAAGTTCACGCTAAAAAAAGAAACTGGAGAATTGTACCTGCAGCTATATGGTGGACAATATGGAAGGAGAGGAACCTTAGAGTCTTTGAAAATATGGAGACTACTATAGAACAAGTCAAAACGAATTGTATTTTGACTTTATGTTTTTGGTGTAACCAGATATACTCTAATGATACTGTCTCTATCATTGATGTCTTAGACTTATTCTAAGGATAGGATAGTAGATTTTGAGTTCTTTTGTAAATATGGTTTCAGTACAACCCATGTACTGTGTTACAGAAATAGAAACAGTTACCTATGTCAAAAAAAGGATAGAACCATCTAGTAACTATCTTACCAGAATTTGATGTGAACACCATATCCCACCTGAATGAAATATTATGCGAGAAACACTCCACAGCTTCCTATTGTTCTTCCATAGACTAACACCATAGGATCCCCAGATAATTTTATACACCAATGTGATTTTGGCGCCATTCATTTACCACCTCTTTCCAAAGTGCATTCCCCCTTGGCTATATCTGCACAACCACTTCATTAACATGCACTTGTTGTGTACAGTAAGGTCTCTAATGCGCAGATCACCAACATGTTTTGACGTTGTGACTTAAGATCAGTTCACCAGGTGATATTTGTGCCCTTATTGCATTCTTCCAACGTAAGTATTCTCCTGATCTGATCTTATCCCGCTGTTTAATTACCTTTCTTAGAAATTGAGATAATAGCCATGGGATATGTAGGAATGTTGTCCAGTACACTATTTATGAGTGTTACTCCCCCCCCCCCAACCAGCACAACCCTACCCACTGAGAGACAGAGAGGTATTGCATGTGACAGGAGGCCAGCAACCTCACCTTCTGCAGAACCTCATCCTCTTTTCATACCTTCAATCCAGGGGCGGAGCCATATTGTGTCAAGGGTGGCCAGTCGAACACCCTTCGTCGGAAAGTTATACCATGTATATAGGTAAAATGCTACTAGATATGGGTATATATTATATTTTGAACACCCTGAAAACAACTAGATGTGGTAGCTCAGTGGTCAAGGGTATTCAAGAACAGCCTGGTGTCCTTGGGTGCGCAGGATTGATTATCAAAACCTGCTAGTTTACTTTGTGCTTTTGTTTAAAGTGCATCACACAGTTAATCTACCTACTTTATTGCTCTGTAAGACCGAATAACAAAGAAATTAAGTGTCAAAAACACACCTAAATTATCCCTCTTTTTTGAGCTTTTCATACCTAAACTATTTCGAGTGTGAGAAACACACCTAAACTATCACTCTTTAGTTTGAAAAACGCACCTCAATGCTGACTGGACTAAATGTGTGTGTATACACACTTCTACGTGAGTGTGGCCTTGATTTTCGTCCACATGGCTTCTTCATTTTTTTAAGGAAAAAAAAATGTCAATAACAAACCTAACCTAAACTATTAGGAGGGTGAGAAACACACCTAAACTATCACTCATAAGTTTGAGAAACACACCTTAAATAATATATGACAACCAGTTGCTTATGTAAGCTCAAAGGGGGCTGATATCTGTATATCTATGATGCCATACAAGGAATCCATAGTGCCGTTTGGTAGCTTTAATAATTTGAGGTCGTGAATGATTGTCCATTATATCAGATTCTATTTTTTTTAATAACTGAAAGACTTTTTTTTTTTTTGAAACTATATATATATATATATTAGATCTGCACCATAACAATGCCATCTACAATTACAAAAACCAACCATGCTTAGGATTACAGCTTCACAAGGAACCTATCATATTAACTAGTGATTCAGTCTCCTTTACATAGTTTTCTTTACACCAAAAATGAAACAAAAGAATACAATTCATCTGGACTTTCTGCACAGGATTGCTTTTGTCATCAATTATGCTATTTGTGGTATCATTATGCTATCAAACATAGCCTATTTTCTTTCTATTGAATTGTAGCTTTCTAAGACTACTTCATCAATCATTTCCAGATTATGACAATTTAAACAACAATGAGCAGCTAAGGACGGAAGTCAATAAAGCAGAAATCATTGGAAGTAGCTTGAAGTAGAAAATTGATTGGCTCCAGTTAGAGACCAAGGTGTATCTCCATTATTGCTCTAATGAAAGCCTGGCTGAGAGAGTAAACAAAATGTGTGAACCTACAAATCAAGGCAGATGCGCTACATCACATATTTATAACATCTCAGATATACTGCAATACTCATTTGAAATTTTAAACTTTTTGCCCCAGTGGAATTTGTTTCCACCAGGCAATCTATGTGGCATTTTCTTTTAAAAAAATAGAGAGAGTGTAATACACACACCATCACATATTACTCGAGGGATGTTTTTCAAACTAATGAATGATAGTTTAGGTGTGTTTCTCACACACTCAATAGTTTAGGTATGAAACTCAAAAAAATGTATGGTTTAGGTGTGTTTTTTACTCTTATCTCAATAATAAATTGATAAGGATCCAAATTGATCCCTACTATTAAGCTACTTTGTGCATGTAAGGATAATAAATCTATTTTTTTTATGACAAGGAAAACTCCCAGCCGCTACCCTTTGGGTGCGCACAAGGTAAAACCCCCGCTCCTATACAATAGCTCGCAAACCACATAGGAGAGGTAACCCGCTCTAGACAAGCCCGGTGCGGCGAGCTCGACCCAGAAGGCAAACCCCTTGCTTTCGCTGGCAAGGAGTTTCGAACTTGAGACCTCCAACATGGAAGTCCCAAGCCCAAACCACTAGGTCACCCCGAAGGGTAATTAATCTATTATTTTTGAATGTTAATTCTTTAATAATCCTTAATTTTTTATCTATAACCTTTTCATAAAAGATCTTCATTTTTACACGTAAGAGATCTTAAAAGGTCATTTTCTTTTATTCCTTAGTAAGTGGCCAAGAGATTTGATTTTCTCATAAACGTTTCTCTAAAAAGAATAAAAGTATCAATAGTCAATTGAATTCCCACCTGATGAGTCTTTGACTTTCTTTTACTTAACATTAAGGTTTTTAAATAAAACTTTAAAAAAATCTTCAACTTAGCCAAAATCGAAAGCGAAAATGCTCCACACGGAACTATTTTTTTTAGAACTTCGTTCTTTGTGTCTCCTTGTTATCGTTGGCAGAGGCCGGTGAAAGGTTAAAGTCTAAAAGTGGTTTCTTTTTAAGCTAAACTCTCCTCTCTTTCACACCTTTTGTTTTTTTGCTTCATCCATTCACTTCATATTAAATTAAATATGAATTCATTAGATCTAAATATTATGTATTTTGATTTAAAAGTTTTTGACACGTCCATTCATTAAAAAAAGTCAATTACTGGCATTTGGTATTTAACTGGATTTTATGCACCAAATGATAGAGTGGAGAGGGAGAGGGCATTCGTCTAGTCTTCTATGAACTCAATTCTTGATACACTTGTCCATTGAATCAGCTGTTTTAGATGGCAACCGTGCCACCACACTTACCCCCATCTAACATTACTGGTTGTTTTTCTCTTCTCTCTCTCATACTAGTTACCCAAAAATATTCAAGTTTTCACTAGTTTTCCAAACTATCAGCACTAGCACACAGGTTTTCTAGACAATAGTACAATAATGATATTTCAAATTTTATGCCCTGACAGTAAATGTTTACACAATCCCAACTTGAAGTCATACACAAAGGACCTTTAGGAAGCAGGGTAAGCAAAATAAAAAGGTGCAAATTCTTTCAAGAAAAACGGGATTAAAATGAAACACAGTATATCACCTGATTTCCATGAGGAGAAGATTGGGGAATATGCGGGCGCGGGGGAAGAGGAGGTGGATACTGGGCCTGTTGTTGTACATGATGGTGTGGATAAGCTCCCTGAGGAGGTCCAGGAAATGGAGGAGGGGGGGGAGGGGGTGGACCCCACTGCTGCAGCTGAGGAGGAGGAGGAGGAGGAGGGGGAGATTGCTGAGGGGGTGGGTGGTATTGGAATTGGTTTGTGTACCATGAACCAGGTGACGGGACCGGTGGTCGTTGAGAATGCGGGAGCTGATAGTGGGGATCCGCCATGGACGGCGGTGGTAACGGCGGTGGTGGTGGTGGTGGTCGATTGTACGGATGCTGATGTTGGAAGTCCATACCTTTTTAGGGTTTTGACAGTTGGGTTGAGGGTTTAAGACGCCGATTGTTGTTCAGGTGGCCAGCCGAGGAAGTTACCGGCGGTGGAGAAAGAGAAAATAGAAGTACTTGGTGGAGACGGGAGAAGCAGAAATGGTGGTTTTAGGTTGAAGAATAAGGTGGGGGTGGCAAACTGTTATGCAAGCCTACAGAAGGAGACCAGACTACCAGAGACTGCACCTAGTTGTATTTCTTTTGCAATATTGGTTCTTTCTATTTTAAGCTCCAATGCATTTTAACTTACACGTTTTATGTGGCATAATACATGTAGGGCGTTACATAATATATTGAATAGATATAAAACGCCACATAAAACGTCAAGTCAAGTAGGACGCATGGGTGGATTTGTTTAACTTTATACAGTTTAAGTAATTATTTGTGTACACTCTAAATTGGAAGGCATAGACGTAAGATAAGGCTAAGTTAAAAAACATGTTATATATCAAGCATAATACGTAAATATGTCATTTAACTTGGCTTGAGCTCATATTGATGTCTTCAACTTTGGGTGTGCACAAGTAGGTACTTAAACTTGTATAGAGTTGAACAAATAGACACACGCATCCTACGTGGCATCCTGGCAATATGAGTCCTACGTGGTGTCCTACATGTATTACGCAACATAGGACTCGTGTGTCTACTTGTTCAACTTTATACAAATTTAAGTGTCTACTTGTGCATACCTAGGGTTAGAGGGCATAAATGTGAAAAGAGACCAAGTTAAAGAGCATATTTACGTATTATCTCTATATATTATGTCATTAGATTATGAGTCGGGTTGTGATCTAGTGGTAAGTACTTATTCATCCTTAAACAGAGATCCCGAGTTTGAGTTTCCTTGGGTACGGAGTCGCATTTGTTAGGGAGTGCTTTAGCGTTTTACCCCCAATGTGGGGCAAATTCGGATTTTGTCAGGCTTCAATGTGCGTATCGGGCACCGGATGGAAAATCAAGCTCAGTGTGGAACTTCTCATTCAGATTTAGTCAGGCTCCAATGTGAGTACCGGACACCGAATGAAAAACTAAAAAAAATAAAATTACGAGCCTTATTATAGTGATATATTTTAGGTGATTTTAAGTTAGGATAGTCCAGGGTATTGACATGAGAACTTGAGATAAAGTAGTACATTGGTTAACAGGGCTAGTGGGACCCTTGTATTTGGGGAATCCCTACATGATAGAAGGATTAATATCACTCCCCGAGCCTACATCTTGGACGTGGCGGCACTTGGAGACCATTGTTGGTCTCAAGCGAACCCTTGACTTGACTAACTATATATCATACATATGGCTCAATAGATTATGTGGAAGCTTTAACAAATGAGCATTTAAAACATTTAAAGAACTTAAAATAATGTTTGAAAATACTTGATATAAATAGTTAAACGTTTAGCAAAACATTTGAGAAAGTACTGAAAACTATCTAACTTTGTATATCCACGAAACATGTATTGTCTAAACATAGGTGACAGGACAAGACCCTAACACCTCAAAATATTACTAAAACCAAATAATAAATTGGAGACCTCCGAAATTAAGGAGGTCTGGCCAAAAGCTGACGAGCGGATGATATGATCTCAATGGAACGCCTGTTGATGATCCTAAGTACCTGAATCTGCATCATGAAATCAGTACATTAAATGTGCAGTATGTAATAGGAGGGAATAAAACAAATAATGGAACTGAAAGACCGAAAGCAACTCAACTGAATCAATACATGAATATGAAGTGAAAAACCATTTAAGTTTTACAATAAGATATTTAATAAAAGTAATATGAAAATATACGCTACTCTGTTAGGGAGCTTCTCTAATCAACAACCATCACTATGAGCCTAGCGATCATCCTATACTTTGCCTGGGTATAGGATGCTAACTATAAATAACTATGGATCTATCCAATAAGCCTTCTTGAGGCAGTGTGGAGTCGTCCGCAAGTCGGTACAGTGCTATCATATGTTGGCTACGTAGTTTATGGGGCTTCGAGTTTAAAATTAATTCTTACCCAAGTCGGTGCTCGATACTACTCCCATAATAATCAATATCAATATGCTCAATAGTCCTCTGAGAGAACGTTGTCCTTTTCTTCACTTTTCTTTACTGAAATACATTTCAGAAAATCAATATGCTCAATTACCCTTTTCAGGGAAGGAACCATTACTTTACTGAAATATTTTTCAAAAAGTCAAATATGTTCTTTTCTTTCCAATTTCCAAATAGTACATATGAAACCATTTTTCTTTTTTCTTTGTAAAACTCTTTTCAAATTATGCATTTAAAATACTCATGGACTCACTTTCCAAGTGCAAAATCAATGTGTAGGAAAACTCAAATAGGATTTTAAAAAAATATGACTTCAATAAATAAAAGTCATGTAATAATGAAGCATAAACAACAGTTTAAAAATCAACATGCATAAGAGATTTTTTGATGATTAAAAAATCGGTACTCAGAATAAGAAATCCAAACTAAATACAATTTTTCAAGAAATTGTGGGTATAACTCTAAACGTAACCATTGCTGGTTGAATTTAGATGTAGGGTGTGAGGACGAATGTAGTCCATCACTATGAATAGTCTTACATACATTAAAAAAACCATGAATCTTGAAGAAGAACCCTAACTTTAAGAAGAACGATCAAGAAAACCTTTCTTGAGATTCTTTAATTAGTTTCTTGAAAATCCTATGGCCAAGAATTAAGATTTTATTATGATTAATAATTGTATAAAGGAATTTGAGTTAGAAAGAATGAAATTTTTGGTCATAATTGATTCACTATTGACGTTGTATTACGATTGCGTTGATGTGAATTGTGCATTGTTATGAAAATGATCACCTCATCATTATTTGTGTGAACATGCCTATTTGCATTGGTTCTGAAATACGATTATGACAAGTGTTGTGTGAACTGATGAAGAATAAGAAATTAAAGTAAATATACCATTTCGAGGGACGTGGCACACGCCGCGACAAATATTATGATTCAAGGGACGTGTCGCATGCCGCGATAAATTTTATTATCAAGGACCGTGTTGCACGTTGCAATGGATGCATGAACAAATATGTCCTCATGAGTCCCGAACTGAGAGATAACTGGTGCATACCACTAGGTCTGACATGCATCACGATACTTGACATTGCATTTCATTGTATTGCATACCTTTTCATTATGAACTTATGAGTGCCTTTTTGTGTAACTTGTGATTGATGAATATTGTGTTTGTTGTTGAGGATATGTAATTGTTGGAGTGTTGTTGTTGAATTGTGTGCTATGTAAGTTATGGATTGTTATGTTGGGCTGATTTTATGTAGCTTGTAGTTGTGGAGGTCCGGTTAGAATGGTAAGAGTACCCGTATTCTATATTACCTGACTTTGTGTTTAGAAGTTTGCTTGTTGAGTACTGTGTGGTTTGGTACTCACCACCTGCTTCTACATTTGTGAAGGTTACGAGCCTGAATCTTCGTAATACTCTCTATCCTCTTCTTATCTGAGGCTTCCCGTGGAGATTTGTAAGGTAGTTGTTTATCATCTCAGCAGACCTTCTTACTCCTAATTATGATTTTGTTCTACTTTAGAGACAACATCATTTGAGACTTGTGTTCTCTTTCAAATCTATTGTAATACATTAGAGGCTTGTGTACATGACAACCAGGGTTTGGGGGATTTAGTTAAGTTGACTTGTTGTCCGCATTATTAATTATTATTAAACTTTCATTTTTATTCTATTTTTGAATTCTATTGTGATATTTGGGCTTTAGGCTGACTTGTCTTGGTGGGATAAGACGAGCGTCATCACATCCATTATGAGATCGTGACAAAATGAAACTACATATACATACAACAATGATAAAAAAAAATCAAATTCTATTAGTATCTTCCATATGATAAACAATATAAGCATCCAGTAGAATTTAAAACAAACTTTTTTTTTAAAGTATCGTCTATCTTTATATAAATATTTGAATATGAAGTTAGTAATTATTGTGTATAATTTAAAATTGTTCTAACGAATCATATATTAAACTTTATATTCGTCTTCATCTTTAGCTCAAGGGAAAATGAAAGCTCGAGAAGATTATCGTCCTATGCAAAGGACGGAGGGGTATAATTTTTCGACTCTTAAAAATTAATGAAATTTAATTTGTCAAAGAATATTATATGAGTATATAATAATCTGTTAGAATAATTTTCTGAAAATTCAAAAGTGTTTTTCTAATCTTATTTTAGTGATTGAGGTATTCGATCAAATTTTTGAATAATAGAAAAATCATTTTTTAGAAGATAAAAAGGGTATTTTATTCTAAGAAATATTTCAAAATCTCGGTCAAACACAAATTACTATAATTGTGATTTTTTTTTTGAAAAGGACAAAAAATACTTTTCAAAATAAAGAAAACAAACAAACTATTTATTAAGCTGGTTAATGTATAATGCAACAATTATATACCTTCTCGATAATTCTTTTAAAATCAATAAGTAAAATAAAGTTTTTAAAAGTAAATTGATAAGCTAAAAACTATTTTAAAATGTTACTCAGCCAAAAAATAATGGTGAGTACCCACTACAACTTCACTAAAAAATATTTACTATGATTGATATCGTAGAAATAGCTAAAGCTTGAGTGAAATTCGGAACAAAAATTATTCTTTATTTATAGGTCACATAAAACACAAAATATCTAATTAGTAATAATATAAATTTATTTATATTATAAATATAACATATGACTGGATTAGTCATAAATAATTATGACTTTATTATTTGTAAACTATAGTTTGATTGATGAATCATGGTGGCTATAAATAGATCTCGTTAATGGAGCAATTAAAGTTTGCAATAACTAAAAAATATTTGGACTGAGGCAGAAAGGTATAGTACATGGATCCTCAAACAAAGAAGGGTATTTGTCTCGCATGTCCTTCACGATTTCTCAAGTAGCCTTCTCAATGGGACGATGCTTTCACTGTACCTTCACTAATTTGATCTCATTTGTCCTCAACTCTAACATTTCGATCAAGAATCGCAACTGAACTGAATCCTCTTCATAGTGCAAGTCCTTGTCCAACACTATTGAGTCCCGCTTGACGATATAATCTTCATTCTTATGGTACTTCTTCAACATAAACATTTTAAAAAATGAATGAACTTCAGATAAGTT